TTATCTTCTAAAAAGTCCATGCCTAGGATGAGAGAGTGATGGAGAGAGGAAAGAACATGAAAGGTTTGGGACAGGAGAACATTGCCAACATTAATATCAAGTGAAAGAGAGCCTAATACTGAATGAATTTCACCTCCTACACCTGTTATTTGACTAAGATGGGATTTAGATAACTGTTCCTTAGTGTATCCTGCCTTGTGTAAGAAGCGCATGCTGACACAGCTGATGGATGCACCTGTGTCAACAAGAGCTGGTGTTTTTGCTTGCTTCACCTTTATCAGAACAGTGTTCTTGACCAAAGGAGCCACAAGTGAGACCACAGGGTTCTCATGCCTGACCTCAGAAATCTGAGAATCAGGCGCGAGTCCCTATTGCATAGGTGCTTTGTTCTGTGAATAGTAAGCACTGAGGCAGACGCTAAAATGGTGTCCTATCTTATTGCAATAAGTACAAACTGTGTTGTAGTGTGGGCATGCATAACGATTCGAGCAATACATACCACAGCCATGACACTTTTGTTGGAGGTGAGGTGGCACTGGTAGTCGTGGTCGTCGTGGATACTGCTGTTGAGGGTGTGGGTACTGTTGATGATGGAATGGAGGGCGTGGCAGCTGTGTGGACATGTTCATTGGATGTACTGGCATCGGTGGTGGTGGCTGGTCTGGAGGTGGCAACTGTTGTTGCTGTTGTCTATGCGGTCTATATCTCTGCATCGGAGGTCTGTTGTGATGGTCTTGCTGTCCGCTGGATGATGGGATAGCAGCAGCCTGCACGGTAGGGGGCGTTGTCTTGGTGATCAAGGTGGCAACCAAGTTGGTGAGCTGGTCCACCTTTGCAGCCATATTGACATCAGCTGAATTGGCCGTCAAGGACTTTTCTGCCAACTCTGCCTGATGCCTTACTTCCTGTAAGGTGGTCGGTTCCTTATTATAAACAATCTGTCGTATTGCCGAACGAAGACCATTTACTGTTATTGCCACGACAACAGACGCAGGGAGATTAAGATGTGTTGTAGCAGCCTGGACTCTTGTGACATATCCGGTGACAGTCTCGTCACTCGTTTGTGCCATCTGCAAAACACTGACGTCGAATGCAGCTGGAGAAGAGAAGCGTTGGTCGAATGACGCCTTTATTCGGGCAAGGTTATTTCGATCTTCCTCAGAGAGCTCCCGATACCATAATTTAGCTGCTCCTTCAAGATAAAATGGTATTAGTTTGCATTTCCGATCATCATTAAAGGAGTAAAAGTTTGAAAAGTTTAAAAAATCTTGCCACCAATTCTTTCCATTTGTAGTTCCAGAGTACTCCACAAGCTTTACATGTGGCATGCTTGACATATTTGAGGTCAATGATGAAGTTATTAATGAAGTTGCTCTCAACGTTGATGCAGGCGTTGTTGAATTTGCTGCTGTTGTGGTGATGACAGCTGGAGACACAAGGATGGGTGAAGATGGTGACTGAAGGACCGGAACAGGACTGAGCAGGCTGGTCAACAATGACCTTGGCTCTTGGCCCCTCAGCTTCTGTCTGTAGTTATTGGGTGTTGCGCCGGTCATCTAGGATTTCCTCCACCATTTATAATAAACCTTATGACCTATAATAACCTTTAAAGGTTAATGTTTGGTCAAGGCTAATTATAATTCCTAGAATTAGCTGTCGGGGAATTAGCAAGGGACCGCACACCTTAAAACAACCAAGAGAAGCATCTATTAGTGGCCAGTCTTTATTCCGTGTGTCTCAACAGTCATTTACATATCACAATAAAACATAAACAAAGTACAACCTAAGACAATTGAAGTATTCCGAAAATTATGAATTAACAGTTACAGTATAAATCTTACAATATATCATACAATGACCAAATGCATTTAACAATGAAACGAAGACACTTTACAACTGGTTGGAAATGTAATACACGTGATATAGCGCAATTAAGCACAATGTATTTTAGATAAACAGGATAACTCTTCGGTAAGACACATACTACATGTGTAAACAATAACTGAAATAACCTCACATGATCTTTTAATGTTTATTCGAAACGTAAAGATGAGCTTTACTTCAATACAACCTTACAGAATACAACTTAAACCAATTAATAAGAATATTCAAATATTAATAAATATCTCACCCATTACTAAAATAATCTTACATGATCTTTTAATGTTTATGCGAAACGTAAAGATGACCTAACCTTACAGAATACAACTTAAACCGAATAATAAGAATATAGAATTATTAACAAATATCTCACCCATTACTAAAATAATCTTACATGATCTTTTAATGTTTATGCGAAACGTAAAGATGACCTAACCTTACAGAATACAACTTAAACCGAATAATAAGAATATAGAAATATTAATAAATATCTCACCCATTACTAAAATAATCTTACATGATCTGTTAATGTTTATGCGAAACGTAAAGATGACCTAACCTTACAGAATACAACTTAAACCGAATAATAAGAATATAGAATTATTAACAAATATCTCACCCATTACTAAAATAACCTTACATGATCTTTTAATGTTTATGTGCAACGTAAAGATGAACTTTACTTCAATACAACCTTACAGAATACAACTTAAACCGAATAATAGAATATACAAATATTAATAAGATTTCAATCTGCTAATTAAATAATATGGCCACATGTTTTATATCTAAACTACCGTTAATAACAAAAAGTTATATGCCCGAAGGCATGTCATTGAATGTGTACAACGTAGAAATAAATAGAGCTTAATAATACTGAAGATATAGCAATACATGAGCAGCTGAATTAAACAACAAGTGTTATGTGCGCTCATGGGTTTTGCGTGTACAGTATAGTTGCCTAGCTCAATAAGTACATTGTTTTAACATTAATTACATCAAGGGTAGTTTGAATCATTTGAATGGAACACACACAGTAATCATTTAAAGATGCATTCATTTACATACATGCACACTTCAATTGCAAACATTCAATAAAATATACAACTGACAACAGATGCACAGGAATTACTTTGCTTCCACGAGCCCGGCGGAATATAAATTTGCTGAACCAATGTCTAAAAACGTTATCATATTATATTTTATACTATTTTAATATACACTATATTGTTAGATTGTTTTTCGTGCTACATGATCTAACCTTACTATAATACTAACTTTACTGGTTACCTTAGTCATTATTGCCTAATTTAAAATGTTGATTATATTCAAACCAACTGAGAATGTAGAATGCAATAGAAAACAGGAAAAATAGGAATATAGTTTAAGAACATACAATATACATGAAGTGAACACATCTTACCTTAAAACAACCAAGAGAAGCATCTATTAGTGGCCAGTCTTTATTCCGTGTGTCTCAACAGTGAGGTACCCGGAATAGAGGCCGTTATTTATACCACTGATGCTCTTAGGTCATGATACGGTCGCATTTTCAATTATCACTTACTTAAACAATATCTACACAATGTTGCTAATCTAACATGCTGACTATCTGAATTTCAGAGATTACCTCTCAGTTTTGAAGGACATGAGTATGCAGAAATTACTAAAATTACATAAGTTTTCTTGGAGAGCGCGTTATCATAGAATAATGTTTACTTCTCACGCTGGACATGTAGTCTTAACGATTAGCTCCTAACGCTTATAGACTAAATCTTGGGAATGAAGGCAGGCGTATATCAACAACGACTGATAATAACTTTGGACAGAACATGCATGTAGTCTTAACGCTTAATACATAATGCCGTTCGACTACACACATGTAGTCTTAACAATTAGCTCATAACGCTTATAGACTAAATCTTGGGAATGAAGGCAGGCGTATATCAACACCGACTGATAATAACTTTGGACGGAACATGCATGTAGGCTTAACGCTTAATACATAATGCCTTTCGACTACACAATGTAGTCTTAACGCTTAATACATAGTGCTTATCAACCCAACCTTGTGAATGAAGGCCGGTGTATTCAAAAACCGACTGATAGTTAATTGTAGTACACAAATTATTAAGTAACATACCCAAAATATGATGTTTAGTCTTATTTTATAAAGTCAAAATTATTTACAAAAAATAGAAGAAAATATGATGTATTTTGGGACTATGACACAACCTTCAAGACGTCAAAAACAGAAAACGCCAAGAAACTATGAACATCAAAAGAGTCCAACCATCAATCAGCCGTGATCAAGGATAGTATATACTCGCTGCGTACCATCAAGTCATGCAAGACTCCAATCAGTCATAATCCTTTTGTTTATACTACTGGCTTCACCCGTTTTAATATGTTTGCCTCATATCACCCGTCCTCATCCCAATCTACTTAACTGTATGAAGTTGTTCAAGTGAATTACAACGATCACATCTGGAATCCAAGGTACACAACACCGCTCTGCACTTGTACCAGGATTGTAATTTCCCAATATGAACCACTGACAATGCAGTTTCGCCATACATACTGGCATGAAACATACAGTTTAATGAGTGAACGCATCTGACACTATTTGTGTGATTCATATATGATGCTAAACAAAGCAGGTGAACAATATATTTCCTCACTAACAAGGAACGAGAATGAATGTTAGCCAGCCGTATCTGCTGTAGAGGGACTCCTTCCATCTGGCACAGTCTCCCTACTTGGCTTACCAATTTTAAAAAAACAATAGTAGTTAGTCGAGATAAACTGAACAAAAATAAAAGTTAAAGCAAAAGTGTATTTAATGATCTATAAAAAACAGTTGTCAGGCGGATTAAGAAACAGAACAGTCAAAGGGATACTTCCCTATTTATATTACTTTTTCATTTCTAACATTAGATACCAGATTCAATGGAAAGAATAAAAACCTTATCAAAGTTATAATTCATGAAAGTTTAGTTTGTTGTCTCAGTAAAGAAAGTACCGGGTAATTAAAAATAAAAATATAATCTCTCGTAAATTGTTCTCAGTACAGTTCACAATGGACGTGTCATTACGTTACAAACTGTTATTTGTTGCAGGTGGTATGTGAGCGGTGTACACGGAAACAGTGTGTGCCATATCAACAACACGCAGACTGCAGCGTGTGTCTGGAGTGTGACAACATCCTTACAGACAAATCTTCCCAAGGAGTAGTCACATAAACTGCACAACCTTTGGTCACAATGTGATTACTTTTAGTTTTCATATCATATTCTCAGGATCCATCGGTCTGACCTATGATAGGTAGAGCCATGGCTGAACCACTATTCTAAGATGCTTCGCTAAAACATCAAAGCACTGACTTTACTTTACTTTATCCTCCGATAGTACACTTTTGGAGTTACATCAAAATGGACTGACGTCATGGCACTGTTCCAATTAACTCCCCTAGATCTGACTATCCTTTGTAACATCATTCCTTCATTTCTGTCAAGCAAGATGGCGCATCCACATCGGCTTTTGGTGAAATAGTTTCTTTAAAATTCATTATGACCTGGGAAGAAATGTGACAATATGAAGTCAACCATCTCTCATGCCACAGTGTTAATCCCAAACACATTTGAACCAGTGTGTCCGTGCTACCAATTGACTTCTCATTTCCAATATCAGAATGCCCTATGTGCTCAGAGAGAAAACGCGACATCATTAGCTAATTAGGCTTGTTGTAAATGTAACTCAATAGAAACAAGTGCAAAAGTGAGCGTGGCTCACTAATACCCCCGACCCGCCTAGTGTGTCAGTAGCTACAAATTAAAAAGCTAGGATAGGGTTAGAGTTTGAAAAATTCATAAAAAATGGAAAATTAATAAAAACATTTTTTTTTCTTTTGACTGCACCCCTCCATATGATACAGATTATATTGTACTAAGTTTGACATGAATCCACTTAATAGTTTAAGAGAAATCGCGCGGACAAAGTTTTCGGACGGAAGGACAGAACCTTGGTATAACTATATACCCCCGACATTTTGTCGGGGGTATAACTAATACCTTCAAACTACCAATCAGATGTCCACATGATAAAGGTGAAGCTGATCCTCTCCCTCCCACCGCTAATCCTACCCTACTGCAGTCTGTAACTTGCCACTTACACACACATCCACCGCTGCCCTGCCTTACAGCAGTCTGTAACTTGCCACTTACACACACACATCCACCACTACCCTGCCTTACAGCAGTCTGTAACTTGCCACTTACACACACACATCCACCGCTGCCCTGCCTTACAGCAGTCTGTAACTTGCCACTTACACACACACACACACCGCTGCCCTGCCTTACACCAGTCTGTAACTTGCCACTTACACACAGTTCAGAACTTGTTTCGGGAACAGTTGTTGTAGGAGTTACATCACAACTTCCATTGTCTGGTGTTGATGTTTTGTTAGGAAGGTTTCAGTAATCAGCGCTGACCCTGTTATGTGTGATGAACCAACGATTTCTGTGGATTCAGTTAGTTAGTTCAGACACAGCTCAGGTTTTGGATCAGGACATGGTAAAAGGCATTGATTTATACCCTGCATGTGCTGTTACTAGAGCTATGGCTAGGAATGAAGTTCAATCAGAGAATGTAGAATTGCCAGTTGAAGTTCAGTCAAAGGAAATAGATTTGCCAGTTGAAGAAGGCCATGTAGAAACTTTTATGTGTGGATTGGATGATGTAGGAGCTAAGCAAGTTATGGATCCTGGTGTAGAATCACAAGATGGTGATGAATTTAGAGGTGTGTGGTCTAGAGAGAAACTGATTCAGAAGCAAAAGGTTGATAGTGAGTTGGTAAAGTTTAGGCAAATGGCTTTGTCTGTGAAGGAGATAGAGAATATCCCTGTGGGGTATTACTTGGATTCGGATATTTTGATGAGAAAGTGGAGACCGCCAGACGTTCCTGCAGATGAGTTTTGGCGTGTTCAACATCAAGTTGTAGTACCACAGTGTTATCGTGAGGAAATCCTCAGTCTAGTGCATGATACACTGTTAGCAGGTCACTTCGGTGTTAACAAAACTTACCAGATGTTGATGAACCATTTCTATTGGCCAGGTTTACAAAATGATGTAAGGGAATACTGTAGAACTTGTCACACTTGCCAGTTGGTGGGTAAGCCAAATCAAACAATTCATAAGTACCCTTTAAAACCCATGCCAGCGTTCGAGGAACCATTCAGTAGGGTATTGATCGATTGTGTAGGGCAATTGCCAAAGTCAATATCAGGGAATAAGTTTTTGTTAACAATCATGTGTACATCTACCAGATTCCCTGAGGCAATTCCATTGCGGAACATTAAGACAAAAACTATTTGTGAGACTTTAACCACGTTTTTCACAGTATTTGCATTACCAAAGGAATTGCAATCAGATCAGGGTTCCAAGTTCATGTCGAATCATTTTAAACTCTTATGTGTGACAATTTAAATCTTTGGAGAGATTCAATCAGAATTAAAAACCCTGCTAAGATCGTACTGTATGGACCATGATAAGGACTGGGATAAGGGAGTTCCTTATGTACTTTTTGCGTCCAGAGAAACTGTGCAGGATTCGCTAGGGTTCCGTCCTTATGAGTTAGTGTTTGGAAGGGAGATGCGAGGTCCTTTGAAACTGCTAAAGGATAAATGGTTGAATGAAAGTTCAGAAACAAACATCTTGCAGTATGTGTCCGACTTCAAAGAACGATTGATAAGTGCAAGCGAGTTAGCTAAGGCAAACTTACAATCGAGCCAAGAAAAGATGAAAGAATGGTTTGATAAAAAGGCAGTCAAGCGTGAATTTTACCCTGGTGAGAAAGTACTAGTATTGTTACCTCTGCAGGGAAAACCACTTCATGCCAAATATTCAGGACCATATACAGTATCAAAGAGAGTTAGTGACACTGATTATGTGATCAATACTCCAGGTAGACGTAGGTCTAGTAGGTATTGTCATGTCAACATGATAAAGAAATACCATGAAAGGGGACAGAATAGTGTACCAATGTGTGTTGGGAATGTCAGTGAAAATCAAAATGAAGAACAATTTCACTTTGGAGCAATTCTCAAATTTTGAATAATTTGGGCGAGAAACTATCCCATATGATCGGTAGTGAGAAACAGGAAATGAAAGGGTTGATTATGGAATTTGAAAATCTTTTTCCTGATACACCATCTCGCACAAACTTGATTGAGCATGATATAGACGTGGGGGAAGTTCTTCTAGTTAAGAAACATGCTTATAGGTGTAATCCAATCAAACTAGAGCAGTTGAGAAAAGAGATAGATTACATGTTGACGAATAACATCATACAGCCTAGCAATAGACCTTGGAGTTCTCCATGCATCCCAGTACCTAAACCAGATGGAGGTGTACGATTTTGTACAAACTTTAAAAAGGTCAATGCCATTTCAAAATCAGATTCATACCCTTTACCTAGGATAGACGATTGCATTGATCGAATTGGGCATGCTAGATATGTGTCAACGTTTGATTTGTTAAAAGGTTACTGGGGCATTCCATTAACATCTAGAGCAAGGCAAGTAAGTGCATTTTGTACACCTGAAGGACTGTTCGAATATAATGTGATGCCATTTGGTCTGAAAAATGCGCCAGCAACAGTTCAGCGTTTGATAAATGGAGTCATCTGTGACCTGAAACACTGTTACGCATACATCGATGACATCATCATTGCTACAGACACGTGGGAGGAGTATAGGAGAGCCAATAGACAATTGTTTGAAAAGTTATCAAGAGCTCAATTGACCATAAATTTGAGCAAGACGGACTTTGTGAGAGCAACAGTAACCTATCTCGGTCACGTGGTAGGTCATGGTCAAGTGAAGCCAGTTCGAGCCAAAGTCGAGGCGATTCTGAAGTTTCCAGAACCTAGACACAGAAAACAACTTATGAGTTTTCTAGGAGTGGCGGGATATTACCGCAAGTTCTGTAGAAATTTTTCCCAAGTAGCATAGCCTTTGACAGGTTTGCTTCAGAAGAACATATCTTTTCACTGGAAAGAACAAGAAGAAGAAGCGTTCAAGGAAGTCAAGCCATATTAACGAACTCTCCAGTGCTGATAGCTCCTGATTACCAGAAACAATTTACCATTCATGTGGATGCGTGTGACCTTGGTGCGGGGGCAGTGCTACAACAAGATGCCGTGGGTATTGAGCACCCTTTATGTTACTTCAGTAGGAAGTTTAACAAACACCAACAGAATTATTCCACCATCGAGAAAGAGACACTTGGACTAATACTGGCATTAGAACAATTCGACATATATGTGTGCACACCAGTGTGGCCAGTGTTAGTATACACAGACCACAATCCACTTGTGTTTGTCAGCAGAATGAAAAACAAGAACCAGAGACTGATGAGGTGGAGCATTGCTTTAGAAACATACAACCTGGAAATTATGCATATCAAGGGCAAGGATAATATCATCGCCGACGCACTTTCCAGAGGTTTCACTACGTGAACTGTACTTACAGTATGTGGAGTACAGAACAGTATACGTGTGAAAATGAACAATGAGTATGTGAACAAAAACATGGTGTTGAAACAAGAATTGTTTGCATTTGTACAGAAGGGAAACAAAGCCTACAATTATATATGTTGACAAAGATTATGTGTTTGGTAAAATGTGTGTATATAATTTGTACTTTTGTATGAAATTGATAATATATGTATTACTGAATTTTAGAAGTTTTCCATATCATTGTGAAGTTCTGTAAAACATTCTTTTTTTAAGGGGGAGTGTTATGAGTGACGTTGTATATTTGTGTGGTTCACAAGGGGTCCAGTTTGGGTGGACGGCGTCATGCTTGATTGTTAAGCAGGTTGCCTGACCGAGAAGCGTGCTTGTGGGGTGATCGGAGTTTGAGTTGGCTTGGTAACTGATTGGTGTGGGCCGATCAACCTTTTGTTGTGTGCTGAAGTAGATAGCTTACTTGGAAATTGGTTTACTATATAAGGGAAAGTTATCGAACAGAAAGGGGGAAGGAAAAAGAATTGGAGAGGGAGAAATATGGTTTAACTGAACGAGGGCAGTTCAGCCCAGCGTTATGTCCGGAGTCAAAGTTAGAAGGTCATGTCGACGCTTCAAAGGAGGAAACTGTTGTTACCCAGTTATCCTGTGATGTATAAGTTTGGAACAATGTGAAATGGAATTCATTGGGAATGTGATGTCAAGAAATCTGAGATGACTATTATCTATATACTGCACATTTGCCATATTGCTTTGCCTAAATAGATGTGTATGAGTGCCTTGCCCAGTAACTGAGAATTGCTATATGCTTATCTTTGTTTTAATTATTAAATCTAGCTTTAAACTTCAGAGATTGTTGTGTGATTCTTGTAATTGTTATTTGTGGTATGAGCGGGAACCCCTGCCGTTCATACCACACGTAACACTTGCCACTTACACACACACATCCACCGCTACCCTGCCCTACTGCAGTCTGTAACTTGCCACTTACACACACACATCCACCACTGCCCTGCCTTACTGCAGTCTGTAACTTGCCACTTACACACACACATCCACCGCTACCCTGCCCTACTGCAGTCTGTAACTTGCCACTTACACACACACATCCACCACTGCCCTGCCTTACTGCAGTCTGTAACTTGCCACTTACACACACACATCCACCACTGCCCTGCCTTACAGCAGTCTGTAACTTGCCACTTACACATCTACCGCTACCCTGCCTTACTGCAGTCTGTAACTTGCCACTTACACACACACATCCACCGCTACCCTGCCCTACTGCAGTCTGTAACGTGCCACTTACACACACACACATCCACCACTACCCTTCCTTACAGCAGTCTGTAACTTGCCACTTACACACAGTTCAGAACTTGTTTCGGGAACAGTTGTTGTAGGAGTTACATCACAACTTCCATTGTCTGGTGTTGATGTTTTGTTAGGAAGGTTTCAGTAATCAGCGCTGACCCTGTTATGTGTGATGAACCCATGATTTCTGTGGATTCAGTTAGTTAGTTCAGACACAGCTCAGGTTTTGGATCAGGACATGGTAAAAGGCATTGATTTATACCCTGCATGTGCTGTTACTAGAGCTATGGCTAGGAATGAAGTTCAATCAGAGAATGTAGAATCTGCCACTTACACATCCACCCTTCATCAGTCTCCATATATCCTATATTTACACAACATGAACACAATCTTATGGTTAGGAACATATATTTATTAACAAAGTTGCTCAAACAACAATTTTTTCAACTTTGTTCTGATTGGTACATCTGATTAGACATAGGTGTGCAAGTCCCGCTTCCCACATGGTGCATGGTGTATCTACCACAGAGCTGATAATACTGGGTGAGTTGCACTGGCAACATAAGCACAACATACTGTAACAAACACATGAACTCTTACTTCTTATTGCTGATAAACAATCACAAACAATAGCATAGATCACCGACTGTATGGTTAGTGACTAGCAACACTCATGGATGCCAATTAAAGAGTGTGTTGATAATCAGTAAATAACATAAGAACATACAACTAAAAGAGAAAAACATTGTGTTAGAATCAAGAAACGTAAATCAATTTGCATACATTTCATGTATACTTAACATGTTTTTTGTTGACTGACTTGATTATACAAAGTAATGCATAAATTGAAGATTATCATCATTGGATAGTTGACAGAAATGCTGACAAAGGCTCTCGGTCATCTTCTGGGTAAAACATGGCTATAGCTTCAAACATAACACTGGTCTACTGAAGCTCCCATTTTCAAGATGCAGTCACCCAAACAGAATGGTTTCACAACATCCTCGGGACACTTGTTGTTTACAACCAATCTGTTTTCTTATTTCTACCCCCATGATGCTAAGGAGTACAGTAGGCCAAACACACACGTAATGGTAGGATTCACATGTTGAAAATGCCTAATTTCCCCTGTTTTAAAGTCAAGCATCTTTCGGTTTTACCTGTCAAATTGTAAGCTACTAAAGTATGAAATTCCATTTTTGGCTGTAAACAGTTCCATACCAACATGTTTCTACTTTGCATAACCTTAGCCACCTAAGTGTTCACCAGTATATTCGTAGTTATGCCACAAATTTCGAAGTACTATTTCATTGTTTTACTATGTACTCAATTTAATTTAGAAAATGAATAACATTTGTTCCACTCAAAAATCAGTAAACTTGGATGCATTGGAATAATATCACAGCTTTACAATTCATGTAATATTAATACTTGAAATTGATCCATCTTCATGACTGATTGTAAACAATTGCTACACTGTAACCCAAGGATCAGGGCCTTGACCCACAAATCAATCTTAGCCCCCCAGGTGATCATAACTCCCATACTTCAACATAGGCTTACAACAGTCGTAGCCCTAAGGTCATCATAACTCCCATACTTCAACATAGGCTTACAACAGTCGTAGCCCTAAGGTGATCATAACTCCCATACTTCAACATAGGCTTACAATAGTCTTAGCACTAAGGTGATCATAACTCCCATACTTCAACATAGGCTTACGTCAGTCGTAGTCCTAAGGTGATCATAACACTCATACTTCAACATAGGCTTACAACAGTCGTAGCCCTAAGGTGATCATAACTCCCATACTTCAACATAGGCTTACGTCAGTCGTAGTCCTAAGGTGATCATAACACTCATACTTCAACATAGGCTTACAATAGTCTTAGCACTAAGGTGATCATAACACTCATACTTCAACATAGGCTTACAACAGTCGTAGCCTTAAGGTGATCATAACTCCCATACTTCAACATAGGCTTACGTCAGTTGTAGCCCTAGGGTGATTGTAACACTCATACTTCAACATAGGCTTACATCAGTCGTAGCCCTAAGGTGATCGTAACTCCCATACTTGAATATAGGCTTACGTCAGTCGTAGCCCTAAGGTGATCGTAACTCCCATACTTGAATATAGCAATAAGGTGATCATAAGCCTCATACTTCAACATAGGCTTATGATGTAGCTCTAAGATCACTCAGTAGCATGGAACCCTGTCAACACTCTTTGTTATTTGTTCAAATGCACTAATTACCGGTATTTATGACATTTGGAAATTTGCTAACATATTGTTTTAAAATGATACATTGCTTCAACAAAAATACAAATAATTGGCCTGGGAAATGAAAGCATGGCTCACACAGCATGGTTTGCTTTAATTAATCTCAATTGTTTCCATACAGTGATTAAAATGGTTTCAACAAGAAAATACCATGGTCTTCATCTTTATTGCTTCTCATATGTGACTGCAATGAAGTTCAATAATACACAGACTGCCAAGGACTTTTCTTCAAACATGCCTAAATCTCTACCTCAGTCCCTCACACATACTTTTATGAAAAACCATAGTTACCAGCACCCTTTAGTGTTATTAGTATACAGTAAACACGCTTATAACGAATTGACAGATATAACGAACTTATTTTTTAGTCCCGACAATTTTTTGTATAAATGCTGTATATATGCATATAACAAACTACAGTTATTACAAACTAGATTAGTGGTCCCTTCGAGTTCATTCTAACAGTAGTTACTGCATATCAATATGTGTGTTGTCATGACCACAGCTTAGTAAGTGTAACAATATTTCCACTACTACCATTAAATGCACAGCCTGTAGCACCAATATACTGTTCTTTGGTATATATCCAAGATAATACTAACAACAATTATTAATACATAAGGCAGCCCACATTCTGACATCGGTCACCGGGTGGGGGGGGGGGGGGGGGGAAGTTGGCTGGCATTTTCAACTGTTGTCAAAGATGATAAGGCAACAGTCCATTAATGATTGTGTCGTAACAATGCTGAAGAAGTTCACCGGATGACTGCGACTAGGTGAGTGGCCAGACTGTACATGTATCTCTTTTTCTGTACAACACAGACAGGATCTCACCAACACAGAGGGGTCACACAATGTCACTTTCTCTGCATTGTACAACACCAACAAACACTGGCTCATTTCAAAGGTCACTGGTGTTACACTGCTTATTTCATGGTAAAATTATAAAAAATATAACAAACCAATAAACACAAACAGAAACAACTAAAATCAGAAATGATTTCATTTGTTACTTTTACAAAATAACACATATTTTCCTGTAAAGTTCAAGTTGAACAACTATAATTCTTAGATGCTTCGCTAAAATATCAAAGGCTCCGACTGTACCATATCCTGCAAGAAACTACACTTTTTGAGTTTGAGTTCATGATTGGCTGACGTCATGATTGTCAAAATTACCTCTACCGTGATCTAACATATCCTTGGTAAAACTGTTCTTTTATTATTGTTAAACAAGATGGCACATCCACATCATATAAATAGTTTCTTTAAACTTTTAAATTTTTTAACATTATTACCTTGGAAGAAATATGGCAAGATGATGTCAAGATGATCTTTCATGACGCGGGGTTTTCCCCAACATATTCAAACTACTGTGTCCACAAAACTGTCAGAGGTGCTTTGGTGCCCTAGGAATTCTGTATGCCCTAGGAATTCTGTATGTCTCTCAGGACAAAGAAATGAGCAATCCTTGAAAAGTTTCATAACCACATGTAGACCTGTTGCTCAGCGTATGGCATTTAACAATATACAGCAGTCAAATAAACCGGCCACTGATTCTCTACCACCGCCATATCATGCCACAGGCTGCCGATTCATGTTGGTTACAGTAACATGTAAGCAGCAAGCAGCAGGGAAAGCACACTCTCTCATGGCTGGCAGTTGCTGTGGTCTGCTAACATTAGTGTTGGAAAGAGAGATGCAACCTCAACCCACAACAACCAGCAACACCCAACTTTAGGCCATTTTTACATAAACTCGGCCCCACATTGCACTCATGGAATGTTTCGAGTCATGTGATTAAATTGAATCAAATTAATATAAAATTACTTTGAATTACTTGAAAACTAACATATCAACTCATTTTTAAGTAAAATTCATTTGTACAATTATTTCATTCTAAGAGATATTTTACAATTTCTCATAACTACATGGTAACATTACCATACTCGCTTCGTAACTGTTTACAATCCTCCAATTGAGAATACCAGTAGGTCCCCAGTCTACGTCCTGCAGTATGTAACTATGATGTGGAGCAGGTTGTCTGGCTCTGTGCTAAGGCTTACTGTGTGGATCACTGCTCATGTTTTCAGTCAATGGTTTGTCTGGGATTATTGATGGCTCACTGCGACAGAGAATCGACTTTCACTTTGTGTGAGCTCACTGGAGTATGAACCTTCATAGAGTGAGGGCCAAACTGTATGAACATCAATTTATTAATTTTCATAGGAATGCAGCTTATTACGTATATTAAGTTGACACTGCACACATCCAAATGTTGCTGGTCCAAACACTTTATCTAACATGGGACATCTTTTGTAGGTTACCCCAAACTCTATCCTTTGCCCTTGGATCCCCTTTACGATCAATCACTCTTTTACAATCATTAGGGTTAGTTTTGTTGAGTGTTGTTTTCAGTTTGTGCCATATTGGCTCATCCCTCACCACTTGGTATCTTGTAGATCACAGAATGGGACGAGAGTGCCGAATGGTATCAGGATCACTTGTAAGTGACGAAAGTCACTAGACACCATGGCTACCTGTAGCCTTCGTAAGTGTCCGTCACCTATTCCACCCTTTCCGTTCAGTTCCATAACATCGTAGGCTCGACTAGGTAAATATGCACTTGGTTTTACAGTGTGAACGTAGCTCATTCGGTTAGTTGTCGGGCTAACAATCCGAAGGTCTCAAGTTCGCATCCAGCAGATTCTCACAAAAATTGGTTGCTTGTCTTAGTGAAATGTGACCTACAGCAGAGATCGTCCTCTCAAGAAGAGGTGGTGCTGTATTCTAAAGGTGCTCCCCAAAACCTGCTGGAATATGCTATTTGAAGTAAGTAATTTTATGTAAAGCACATATAATATTCAGTGATTGTAGAACTACATTAATCTCGACATGACACAAATGAGCATTAACCTTATATAATGACAGAATTGTTTCTGTCTTGCTGAAGAAATGATCTCACTTGTGGTGCATTGTGATATTTGGCACAAATATAGAATTTCCACAAAAGATATACCATGCCTGTTGGCAACAAAGATATCTTAATCAAAGGGAGATAAGAACAGTACTCTTTATAGTTATTCAACATAACAAACGATAATTACTATTTTCAGGCACTAATAAAACACATCTGAAAAAGTATAATCCATCTCCCATGAATGACAGTAGATATTAAGATTAACCCCTGCATGACGATATTACCATATAGCTATTATTACTTTGAGGTATTTGCAGTCTTGTACATAATGTTTTAAATACTTTGATGGTTGACACAAGTTTATATACACTTATCAATGGCTACTCTGCTGAGGTTGTATGGTTAATGTAAACAATACTTTGAAATACCCATCAGTGTACATTGACATGCTATCTACCAGAAGCCAAGCCTGACAACCTCCTCCACCAAGTTGTCCTGTACAACATGCATAGGTTGCTGGGAACCAATTCAAAATTTCCCACATTTCAGAAACTTGGGTAAACTAGTTGTATTTGTTCAAAAAGTAATATGATCCTTCATCCTCTCAACATTTTGTTACATTGGATGTGAATCTTGTTGGGGCAAACTACCAGCTACTACCAGCTACCAGAGTCTCTAAACCTGTAGGCCTGTGATCCTACTGGGCAAACTTTCAGCTACCAGAGTCTCTAAACCTGTAAGTCTGTGAGCCTCCTGAGGCGAACTTTCAGCTACCAGAGTCTCTAAACCTGTAGGTCTGTGATCCTCCTGAGGCGAACTTTCAGCTACCAGAGTCTCTAAACCTGTAAGTCTGTGAGCCTCCTGAGGCGAACTTTCAGCTACCAGAGTCTCTAAACCTGTAAGTCTGTGAGCCTCCTGAGGCGAACTTTCAGCTACCAGAGTCTCTAAACCTGTAGGTCTGTGATCCTACTGGGCAAACTTTCAGCTACCAGAGTCTCTAAACCTGTAAGTCTGTGAGCCTCCTGAGGCGAACTTTCAGCTACCAGAGTCTCTAAACCTGTAGGACTGTGATCCTACTGGGCAAACTTTCAGCTACCAGAGTCTCTAAACCTGTAGGTCTGTGATCCTACTGGGCAAACTTTCAGCTACCAGAGTCTCTAAACCTGTAGGACTGTGATCCTACTGGGCAAACTTTCAGCTACCAGAGTCTCTAAACCTGTAGGTCTGTGAGCCTACTGGGCAAACTTTCAGCTACCAGAGTCTCTAAACCTGTAGGTCTGCGAGCCTACATCATGACTTTGTTCATACATATGTGACATGCTCAATGTTGTGTATTTCCCTTGATTATGTATCTTTGGGTACAGAGAAATACCTGTATTAGACACTCCATATATTTCAAGTATTATCACTTGTTGTTTTCACAATAAAATGGCAGCTGCATTTTTACTTGAACTTTAACCCTGTATTGGAAGACCCATGAACATTTTGATATCCAAACTACAAATATCTGATATCCCAGACAATAACCTTCTGGTGTGATGACTTGAGGAATAGTGTAGTCATGTGACATAAGGCTGACTTAGAGATTTCATGCTGGACATCTACATCTACAACATTTCATGTGAATAATCATATTGATTTGAGAAATTGTATGCCTGTCCCTAAAACATCCTGGAATTCACACTGGAATTCACTGAATAATGCCTTAAATTAACACCTGACTATCAATGTGTGCATGATTCTCTAAATTAACACCTGACAATCAATGTGTGTATGATTCTCTGTCCTTACATGATCCCAACTGTGAGTAAAGATTTCATCTTGGGTTAACTGCCCATCTGTTTGTTCTTGCCATTAAATATGTAACACAGTCATACACGTGTACTTATTTCATAACAAAACATATGATTAATTGAAAATAAGTATGATACTGCACAATGACATGACACATGAATACAAGACTGGAAGTAACAATTTCCTTGGACGGCAAAGGAGAATGAAGGTCAACTACACAATATAATCTCTTTCAGTAAATAATGATAGTAACCAAGAGCCTGCAAAGCAGATAGCACTATTCCTTGTCACTAAAACACACAATCAAGTTCTTCATTCAACAAATATGCACTCCATAATTTAGTAACAAGCCATCCAAGTCAAGCCCATACCTCAAATCACAGGTTTGAAGAAGTAATAAGCATATACTTTACATATATATTATTCAAAACCAATGGATTTCTTGAAACTCCAGCTCTTCTGCTTGGGGTTGGATTTGGTTCCCTTTAAACCTGGGTAGCGTGTGCCACCTTGTGGTGGTGGTGGTGGTGGTGGTGGGGGCGGCACCGGCTTGTGTTGGCCTGTGGACTTCCACATGTGTGCTGATGTCCTTCCACTCACTGGTTTGCTGTCACACATGGCACCATTAGCCAGTGTCTTCACCTGTGTACCAGCAAGAACACTACTGGCTGCCTGCACAGTGCCGCCTGCAGGGGGATGCGTGGGCAGCCTGTGTAGGCTGTGTAGGCTGTGTGCCTTGAGTCCACTGGGAGGGGCACAACTACTGTGTTTAGTTGTGTGACTGATACACTGTGAGGCTTGGCTACCAGAGTTGGGCAGCGATAACTTCTTAGGAAGGACAGTCACATTAGATGGATTCTTGTGGATTTCAATAAACGATTGGGAACTTTGCCTGCTGTGAGTTGGAAGACTCTTGGTGCTCATTCTGTGTGAAGTGGATTTCTCATCTGTTGTCTTAGCAATAGTGCAAGAAGGATCAGGAATGCCTGTGAGGACAGTCAAAGCATCTGCACCAAACAACAGGCCTGCACTCTCTGTGAGTTGCGTAGCAGACAGAGAGTCGGAGCCCTCTGGAGACACTGCCTCAGTTGATGATTTAGGTTCCAGATTTTTATGCTTTTTCTTCTTCTTTTTCTTGTTACCATCCTTCTGCTTGAAAAAAAAGCAAGAAATTAAAAAAAATTATCAATTCAAAATACTCCATTGTAATATGTAAATTAAATCAGGCTCAGTGACAACTGAAAATACAACTGATTTTGTCTAGGCTGTTTAGTACATCCGTCTAAGGCGCCACGATTCGCTGTGCAGAGTTGCGTCCCTTGGGCATGCCAGAAACCTATGATTGTGGGTTCGAATCCCGGTTCGCCCCAATTATGTTTCTAGGTTTGTCAGCACCATACCCGTGCTCGTGGGTTTCACCGAAGTGGTAAACGTCTAAGACCTGCATCACTTTGGGTTTTCCTCCCACATTAAGCTGACACATTAAGCTGATAGGACTAGAATACTGTTAAAAGCGGCGTTAAACCAAACTCACTCACTCATCTTCAAATTTTGACAATTTCACAATGTGCTCATTACAAAAACACAAATTTGAAAATCTCATGAATTCTGTCTTCATAAATCAATAAATATGAAACAAGGATGTAATGTGCAATTCTACCATGAATTTGGAAATTACTCGATTTTGATTGGTCAGTCTGAGGTTATTATTTAAGAATTGACTTTCACTTTGTGTGAGATCATTGGAGTACGAACCTTCATAGAGTAATGACCCCAATTCACTACGACCACGAATATCCCGAATCACCCCGAATAGGAAATTTTTCATGTTCGTAGATAAATGTGAAACATTTCTTGAAGTTCTTAAATGAATCTTATTTGATTCCCAAACATTTGTACACTTCGCGGGAGTTCGTCTAATCGGTAAAAAAGTTTTTGTTTGGCAAAAGCATTTGTGGGAAGGGTCCCCGAATTGCAATTTCGTGACCAGATCGTAATCCATTCGTCATTAATTCTTATGTTCCGTAACAGCTAATTCTTTAGCATTCTTGGCTATTCTTAGCAATTCGTGGCTCCTAAAATTTCTTGTCCTCAACCAGAAAATATCCCGAAACAGCCATGAATGTCCGGAGTCAACTACTAATCATGTAAGAATTAAGTAAGAACAACCTTCGGCATATTCGCAACTTAGTCGTAGGTGATTCTTACAATTCGTGCATGATCCGTACATGAATCTTGTAATTCATACATGTTTCTTAACCCATTCCTAGCATTCTTCATATTTTTCGAACTGATTAGCCATGAAAGTTTGCATTATTGGCCGAATCATCACAAATTTCGGAAGTTTCCAATTCGGGGTGATTCGGGATATTCGTGGTCGTAGTGAAAGGGGACATTAGGGCCAAACTATTTTAACATCAGGGACATGTTTTCACCTCGAAGGATGTAGTTCTAAACACAATTTTATTTAGTTTGCACTGACAGCCATACAACCTCCATCTGTATAGTGGAATGAAGTAGTTCCTCAAAAAGAGAGGTGAGGTGAAATGGGGTTTAACGTCGCGTCCAAGATTATTGCACTTATATAGCAACGTGCATGCACGTGTGTGTGTGTGTGTGGCTGCTTGTACTAGTCCGAACTGATGCCAATTTATAGTGCTAGCCCACTGAGATACCATGCCGCAGTTTAACATGTATACTCCACTCAGACACAGTATACTGACTCCGAGCTGACCAGTCCTTGTTTTAGCCGCTTAATGCCGAGCGCCAGACAAGGTAACAACAAGTACCATCTTTTAAGCTACCATCATGATGGCTTACGAGGTTGCTGTGTTACATGCTTTCAGTGCCTGTCATGTGAAGTATTGTGGTGTAAACAAACTGCCTGAGAACATAGAGCTATAATGCAGTCTAAATTGTCTCTGACAGTTGTATGGCTTTGAATAACGTTAATGTTCCATGTAAATGACAACATGTAGATCCAAATAAGTCAGTAAACAAACAGAGCTGTGTTACGAATTTTAACATAGAATGTCTACTGAATGCCTGTTCTAGTAACATGATTAAATTATTTCATGGAGAGGTTATAGTGAGGGTAATATTACTGACAACCGATACGTTTTGTCATAACTCATTGACTACAGATAATATGCTGACAAAGAGGGTTCTTCAGTTAAGTCTCTACGACCTAATATTTACTTACCACTGGCTGTTGACTAAGAAGTGAATTTCCCTGTTCCACAATCTCAAAACTTGGATTATATTCATTAGCTATAGCAGCAGCTGAAATAGAAAGGATCCAGGTACAGACTCCATCAAAGTCAGATCATACTGAGAAATCTGCATGATAATAACATAATCAGTTCAACTTTCAGAAACTGACTTCTGTCTTGATCACTTGTGTCTCATAAAGCCTTGTGTCTCAGGGTAGGTCTGTGCTCAACTGTCACCTAACAGCTAATCTCCACCATGCTATCAGAGAGGTGTTATCAGAACCATTTTAAATTAGTAATCTGAGAATGTATCTACCCCTTGATATTAGAGAGCTATTGTTTTGGTTATAGTAATTAAATGTTAGTACTTTAGAAAGAGGTATTATGGTATGGTTAAAGTAGTATATTAAGCTTGGAGGGTTCCTGCTAGATACTGTCAGGTAATACCATGGGAACAGGTTAGATTCAGGGAAGCGAGACATAATCCCGTTGTTTACATTACTGGCTTCATCCTTTGTTTATGTCACTGACTTCACCAATGATTGTCATCACTACCCTTGTGTGTACATAACAGGCTTCTCTACTCCAGTATAACAATATCTACTCTACTGCATAAACATTGCCTCCTACTTGTATATATACTTGCCAACCACACTATGTAAATCACTGCTAAACAACCAAACAATCAAATTTCAAAAACAAACCAAATTCTTAGGACTTATTTTCGATGAACATCTCACCAGGGATGCTTACATCCAAAACCTAACAACTAAATGCAGTAAAGACCTAAACACCCTAAGATGCCTAACTGGCTCTAACTGGGGAGCCTCCAAAGATACCCTCCTCTCTCTCTACATATCACTAATTAGATCAAAACTAGACTACGGCCGCGCCATATACAACACCCTAAACAACTCTCTATCTAAAAAACTTGACTCAATACAATATCAGACTCTCAAACTAATTACACGCACCCAACATGGCACCTCCTACACTTCACTTCAGGCCTTAACAGGAGAAATGCCACTAAGTCTACACAGGGAACAGCTAAGCTTAAATTTCTGGGCCGCGTCCCAAACAAACCCTCTCATCCAAAACTTAATAAACCAAAACATCAGCCCCAAAAACCAAGCTCTAGCTCGTAAACACCCCTTACTTACCCCAATATCCCAAAGAATAACAAACTACCTAAATGAACACCAAATTAAAAATCTTAAACAAAACTGCAAACAAACAAATATCTTCACCCCTAAACTTAAAATACCAAAAATAGACACAACACTAGCTAGCCAAATAAACAAGAGTTTGCCACTAACGTGGCTATATCCCCTGCCCCTGTTGCAGAATTTATGACATAATTGAATCTAAACAAACCCTAACCTTTTTTAACCGAGGTGGCACTTGTCATGGAAATTGTAAAAAAAAGATAAGTTTGGAACCTATGTCCATCTTGTTGCCATGGAAACGTAAAAAATAAAAATTTCTAAAATTTCTCAATAGCAAAAAAGGCAACAGTTCAGCATGTACCTGACGGACCTGCAAAGTTTGATGAAAAAATATTGAACGGTTTATGAGTTATGCTCCGGAAACAAACCCTACCCTCACAGAACCTAAGTCCATCTTGTTGCCATGGAAACGTAAAAAATAAAAATTTCTAAAAATTCTCAATAGCATAAGGCAACAGTTCAGCATGTACCTGACAGACCTGCAAAGTTTGATGAAAAAATATTGAATGGTTTATGAGTTATGCCCTGGAAACGAACCCTACCCTCACAGAACCTAAGTCCATCTTGTTGCCATGGAAACGTAAAAAATAAACCTTTCTAAAATTTCTCAATAGCAAAAGGCACCAGTTCAGCATGTACCTGACAGACCTGCAAAGTTTGGTGAAAAAATATTGAATGGTTTATGAGTTATGCTCCGGTAACGAAATGTGACGGACGGACAGACAGACGGAGGGACGGAGCCCGTTTCTATATCCCCCGCCCAACGAATAATAAACAAACCGACCCAAACATAGCTAAAACTACCACACTAGCATACATACACGAAAATTGTCCAAATTGGTGTCACATTTACACGGATGGATCTTCAGATCCGACCTCCAAACACACAGGTTTCGGAGTCCATACCACACAACCAACTAAAACCACACAATCCTTCCAACTCCCAAACAACCAATCAATATTCACGGCAGAACTAATGGGCATGGCCTCAGCCCTCCATAATCAAGAATCCAAAAACCACAAAAAAATCCTAATACTTACCAGCTCCCTAAGTGGACTGCAAGCCCTCCAAAACAAAAATACCAAAAACCGACCTAAATTAATAAATCAGATACTTAAAAGCTCCAACGACCTAACTAAGGCAGGCAAACAAATAACCTTCTTGTGGATACCCGCCCAGGTAGGAATATGCGGTAATGAAAACGCTGATAAAGCAGCTAAACTATCCCTCAAAATCCCAGAAATAAGCTTAAACTTACCCATCTCAAAATAAGAAATTAAAAGTGTAAACAAGCAAAAAATCACCCAAAAATGGCATAACCTATATCTAAACTCAAATAGCCAAATCAAAAAAGTACTCAGCAAACCACTAACCAAACCAAAAATACTCCATCCATCAAAAGAAATCGACAGAGTAATCACTAAACTCCAAACAGGACACACCAACCTAAAAAAAACCCTAAAAAAAATAAAAACACACACTACAGGTAACTGCCCACACTGCAAACAACTAGAAACCCCAGAACACGCACTTATTCACTGCACACACTACCTAACACATCGAACCGCATTACAAACCACCCTCAATCTAAACAAGTCTCTCACTCTAGAAGCTATACTAAACCCACAAAATAAACTAGAAAACTTCAAGGCCTTAGGCGTATTCTTAATCAAAACGGAACTAATAAAACGCATCTAAAAACACAATAATCTACCAAATCAAAATCACATAAACAAACAAACATCCACCATACCCAGCTCCCTTAGTTCTCCTCCCCAACCCCATCGGCATCTTTTCCAAATCTAAAAATTCCCAAATTCTATATAAGCAACCCCTAAAGCCCTCTCTTGGGTTGCACAGACCACTTTCGCCCCTTTCGGAAACACATTAAATGGCATGGCCGGGCCCGTGTGCGAAATATGCATGAGTCGGAAAGCGCACGTTAAATCTCCAAAGTAAGTAAGTAAGTAAGTAAATCACTTGCTTGATAACGGTGTTAGAACCTACCTACACCAAAACGTCGCTCTTAATTGTAATAAAGAGGTGGTTCCTCCATAAATTCTTATCCTTACTGAGACTTGGCACAACATTAGGGAGGTCAGGGGCAGCTTGAATAGTGGAGGGCAGCTTGAATAGTGGAGTTCAGTTTAAATTGCGGGGCATGGCAGTAATTTGCAGTCAGCAGGAATCATTATTTTATTCATACTAGGTTCCAGAAATAGACTACCATTGTGAAAGCTGCTTACTCTGGTTGGAATAAGTCTTTGATCTATTAGTTTTATTTAGGATAATGTACATTGAGGATAGAATTTTCAGTTGGGTATTCTTGTTCGATGTAAGCATATGCATATATTGAATATAACAATGTGTAGCCACTTAAAAAATCAACAACAAATGATTCCAGCATAAACAGTTCCACTCAGTGAAATGTAAATCAGTGTACTGACACATTGTTGTATGTACTGTTATGTACTGACAAGTGCCTAAGTGACTGTAGTTGCTGATATTATACTGTAGTGTCCCGGAACTGACTGGTCAACCTCACGATAACATTAGGAGGAAGAAAGTACCTCCAATACCGTGTAGGAAGAGAATGATCTCCATGTGAGTGTGAGCGTCATACAGCAGACCTCAGCAGGACTACGTAACATAGGATGGACACCGATGTGACATCCATGTAAACAGGCAGCAACTACTCCGTGGGGAAACCAGCGTCTGGATGGGGGATCAACAAATCACTCCACAGAGGAAGTGTCCTCTAGTAGCTAGACTATCAGTGCAGTGACATTATATACTCATAAGAAACTGTGAACATGGTGAAAGTTTATGTACATGTATAGAGTTGTTTTAAATTGTTAATTTGGAATTAGTTTAGATGTAAGTATTGTTATTGGGGTTTAAACATATCCTATGGGAGGGAATAAAATCTTTCAAAATTTAATCTGTGTTTGTGGTTACTTTATCTAACAACTAATCTACACCATGCCATCAGAGAGCTGTTATCAGAACATTTCAAGTTTTACATAAGAAAAGAATAATTGTTCATAAACAAATAGAAATCCTGTAAAAAATGTGTTGTGGTTCCCTTTCCGTGCATCAAATAGTATGTGTTGGAGCAATGGCAGAATCACACAGTAAAGGTCAAATTTGAATGTATTGAGCAAATTGGGGTGTCATCATTGGCTGGAACAAGCATGTGAAGTTTCAGTTTCACTGGACCAGTGGTGTCTGACAATGTATACGATGTGTGGCCAATTGCGGATAACGGACAATAATGCCATGATACAAGTTCACTTGACTTCAAGTCAGGTGACCTAAGAACTTCCCAGGTTATGTATTTTAACAGGAATGAAGTCTCTAACGTCTGTTAAAAGTGCATGGTTTAGAAAACCAATTGTGGTGCCTTGCCAGGATACTGCTAAATTATCTTTGTTACTTTTCTTTTCAAGAAGCAATGATGCATTGTTGTGCATTTTAACCAACACAAACATCAATGAATGTAAGGCAATACTGACCAAGGGCAGATTCACTTGCTTGTTTTCTCATTGGTGTTGTTGACAAAACACTGCCAACAGCGCCCACAGAGTTCCGCCGCACACTGGCAGTGTGATTTGGATGGCTAGGCATCATCTCCAGCAAGTGGCGAACATCTGGGTGTATGCTTGGAGAACCACCACGCCGTAGACACACAATACATACAATCCCCAGCAGAAAAAACTCAACTGTTGTCCACACTAGCTGTCTGTCTGTAATCTGAAAAGGTGACAACAGTTGTTGATCTTTTAAACATGTAAACATACAATGAGACAAGGTACTATGTGACATCTTACGTTCACCTATTCCCAGTTATTAGGTATCCTGGGATAGTCCCCCTCCTGCAGTAGATGGGCTGCAGGCTCCGACAAAAGAGATAGACATACCTTGTTGTTAAGATCCTCCATGCTTATAGACAACTCAGTCATAAGGGCAGTCAGATTTTCCACACGTGATTCCAGTTTTTCTAATTGTTCCTGTTGTAGTGTATCCTAGGGAAATAAATTCAAGTTTGTCAAACGAACCCAAAATATTTCACTCTAACAGCTTGAAATTGTGTTATTAAATGGTCTTTTTGTAGCAATGCTCACAAGACTAAAAAAAGCCTAGGCCAGGTGCTATACTACGATAATACCATTAATCCTGCAACAAGTACCAATTTGAAGGATCACATACAGTAATATTACAGGTGGAATCGCCGTAATTCCCTGGACACCTAATAGACCCCTGATTGATGGGTTGCGTGGGAATACGGTAGTTATTTTGTATAGAAGTCACACTAGCCAACAGTAAGACAATGATTATTTGGCACACCAGACTCAACAAATATCACAATACTTTCTTTTCTCCTATTCTGTCTCTAATTCATATCCTTGATAGAGGCATTTGCAAATTTGATATTTCAAACAATTTTTATTGCTCACAAGGTGGAAAAGTACATATATCCCTGTACAAAGCTCAGAAGCCTATTGACACAACTCTCCAATTGCGAACAACACCTAGTCATACATCGGTAATTTCTGTACACTACAAGTGACATGAAACTGCAACCAGGTACACAGTGAGTACCTACCTATACATCAGCCCTGATGCAGCAACCAGGTACACAGTGAGTACCTACCTATACATCAGCCCTGATGCAGGAACCAGGTACACAGTGAGTACCTACCTATACATCAGCCCTGATGCAGCAACCAGGTACACAGTGAGTACCTACCTATACATCAGCCCTGATGCAGCAACCAGGTACACAGTGAGTACCTACCTATACATCAGCCCTGATGCAGCAACCAGGTACACAGTGAGTACCTACCTATACATCAGCCCTGATGCAGGAACCAGGTACACAGTGAGTACCTACCTATACATCAGCCCTGATGCAGCAACCAGGTACACAGTGAGTACCTACCTATACATAAGCCCTGATGCAGCAACCAGGTACACAGTGAGTACCTACCTATACATCAGCCCTGATGCAGCAACCAGGTACACAGTGAGTACCTACCTATACATCAGCTGTGATGCAGGAACCAGGTACACAGTGAGTGCCTACCTATACATCAGCTGTGATGCAGCAACAAGGTACACAATGAGTACCTACCTATACATCAGCCCTGATGCAGCAACCAGTCACACAGTGAGTACCTACCTATACATCAGCCCTGATGCAGGAACCAGGTACACAGTGAGTACCTACCTATACATCAACCCTGATGCAGGAACCAGGTACACAGTGAGTACCTACCTATACATCAGCTGTGATGCAGCAACCAGGTACACAGTGAGTACCTACCTATACATCAACCCTGATGCAGGAACCAGGTACACAATGAGTACCTACCTATACATCAGCCCTGATGCAGCAACCAGGTACACAGTGAGTACCTACCTATACATCAGCCCTGATGCAGCAACCAGGTACACAATGAGTACCTACCTATACATCAGCCCTGATGCAGCAACCAGGTACACAGTGAGTACCTACCTATACATCAGCTGTGATGCAGCAACCAGGTACACAGTGAGTGCCTACCTATACATCAGCCCTGATGCAGGAACCAGGTACACAATGAGTACCTACCTATACATCAGCCCTGATGCAGCAACCAGGTACACAGTGAGTACCTACCTATACATCAGCCCTGATGCAGCAACCAGGTACACAGTGAGTACCTACCTATACATCAGCTGTGATGCAGGAACCAGGTACACAGTGAGTGCCTACCTATACATCAGCTGTGATGCAGCAACAAGGTACACAATGAGTACCTACCTATACATCAGCCCTGATGAAGCAACCAGTCACACAGTGAGTACCTACCTATACATCAGCCCTGATGCAGGAACCAGGTACACAGTGAGTACCTACCTATACATCAACCCTGATGCAGGAACCAGGTACACAGTGAGTACCTACCTATACATCAGCTGTGATGCAGCAACCAGGTACACAGTGAGTACCTACCTATACATCAACCCTGATGCAGGAACCAGGTACACAATGAGTACCTACCTATACATCAGCCCTGATGCAGCAACCAGGTACACAGTGAGTACCTACCTATACATCAGCCCTGATGCAGCAACCAGGTACACAGTGAGTACCTACCTATACATCAGCCCTGTGCAGCAACTAGGTACACAGTGAGTGCCTACCTATACATCAGCTGTGATGCAGCAACCAGGTACACAATGAGTACCTACCTATACATCAGCCCTGATGCAGGAACCAGGTACACAATGAGTACCTACCTATACATCAGCCCTGATGCAGCAACCAGGTACACAGTGAGTGCCTACCTATACATCAACCCTGATGCAGCAACTAGTCACACAGTGAGTACCTACCTATACATCAGCCCTGATGCAGGAACCAGGTACACAATGAGTACCTACCTATACATCAGCCCTGATGCAGCAACCAGGTACACAGTGAGTGCCTACCTATACATCAGCCCTGATGCAGCAACCAGGTACACAGGGAGTACCTACCTATACATCAGCCCTGATGCAGCAACCAGGTACACAGGGAGTACCTACCTATACATCAGCCCTGATGCAGCAACCAGGTACACAATGGACATGTGTACACAGTGAGTACCTACCTTTACCTCAGTTCTGCCTGTCACATTGTTAAAATGAGCGATTGTTTTATTAAGTAGTCTCATCATATCCTCAGACTGTTTCTTGAAGCGATGGCTCAACTCATCTAGGAACCTGCACAACAAAAGTATTCGAAGTCAAAGGAATGAATATTAAGTGTTAATATAAAGTGTTTTATGTATAGTGCATAACACAGAGATGTTCTTTCCATCTGTTGATTATATTTTGATATAATGTAGTATATAGAAGCTTAACTTTCAAAGGGGGAAAGGGTGTCTTAAATCCATAGAATACTTTTTGTACGGATACAATAAGCTGTGATGAAAATAGTACCTGCTGCTGAGAGAGACATTCAGTTCAAGTGCTTTAATACGGTTTGTAAGCCTCATAATAGCAGTCTCCCTCTTGGCTACAGGGGCCAGTGGAACCTGCATGAGATCAAGGGGCTTGTCTTTGTTAGCTGTGATATTCTCTGCTTTAACAACACTCTCTGTCACATCAGACTCTTGACCAGGGCTGTCCTTGTGTTCATCCACCTCCTCATCCAACATTGTAGCAATAACTTTGGTGGGCAGAGTGTCTACGCTGCTGGAAACAACCACAGCTGGAGATGGAGACACTTTGCTGCTGACTGATGTTTTCCCGAGGTCTTCTGCTAGAGTGTCACTTGTCGAGGGTTGTTGTGTCTCTAGCACTGGGGTGTGAGTCAACTTGTGGGAATCCTCCACAAAGGATGGGGTGCTGCTAGGCTTGAGGTGAGGCACTACCTCATTCTCCTGTTGGCTGCTACTCACTGAGGGGCTAGACTCAGAAGGCTTTGAGAAATCCTGCTCAGCTTCAAGGCTCACTGTCACAGATTCTATTGTCTTTATTCCAGTAATACTCTGGGTTTTGACCACCAATGTATCTGTTGTTGTGTCGGGTACAGACTTCTTACTGTCATCATCATCAGTAGATATCTCGTGAGCGGATACAGATCTGTCCCCTTTATCTGCCTGTGTTTCCTGCAGACTGAAGCTGCCTGCAGTATTTGCTGATCTCTCTGTTGTGTGAGTCACTGGACTTTCCTCCATCCAACTTTGTGAGTGAGTGGTGTCTGCCACAGGTGTGCTGCTGGTGTCTGACAAAGTCTTGGGAGAAGTGTCTGTCTTCTGTCTGGGGGAGGAGGCCACAGTGGGCTCCGGCTGTGAGGAACATGTCTGTGTGATCTTGTTACTTAGCATTGTCTGAATATAGGAGCAAACCATACGATGAGGGCTTGTTTTGTTGTGCTGTGAAGGTGTGGTACAAATCTCCACAGCACCCGGATACTGAGATGACAACAATGTCACCAGATTCTCATTCCCACTGTGCTCACTAGGTATCTGTTCATCATCTTGAAGTTTGGTTACAATAGGCAGATCTGAAAGCAATATGTATATACATGAAAGTTCCACACAACAAACAGCATGCCTCTAACAGTTGCAATGGCATCATGTAACTTATATTTGTAAGTTGGAATACAGAATTGTTTGATTCCAAGATACATGAAATCAATATTCTTACCTGAAAGTTGTAAATGCCGAATATCTACGGACTGTATCTAGTTCTAAGTGCAGCTTGAATGACACTTTTGATTGAGTTTCAGAATATTTTCTTCCCATTTAAATGATAAGCTTTCAGATATACTTTGTGCCTGTGTTTCTATTTACCTTCTTGTTACAACCAACAACACAGTTGTTATTGTTTAGACATAGCATTTCATCAGGTTCTTATAATCAATCACAAAACGTATGTGCAACAACTTGAACAATTTGGACACATCCCCATTCCCTTACTGTCCAGACCCCAATAAGGCAACACAAGTGTTGACAGCTCACAAACTGTGTGAAATGAAACTAGAACCAACTGCAAGGGTATTGGGTTTGTAGTCTCCTATGACTGGTAACAGGTGGACTGTAAGACACCTGTCCATCTGTTGTCTGCTGCACCCACCTGTTGGTCCTGCCTGACTGCTGGGTAGAGGGACTGTTACTGTGGGGACATCTCCACTGCTCTCCCACCTCATCTCACCAACTCTAAAGTTGCATACCAAAGTCTGTCAATCTCACATGCAAACCTTCAGACCACAAATAATATTAACACCAAAACAAAGTGCTCAATATACCATGTCCTTTAGAAATGTATTTTTAGGGTAAAATATTATTATACCAATCCTGACACTACTCATTTCTACTCATTTCCGAAAGGTAGTAGAAACTTCCTGAACTGTGTTCCCAGAGAAAACATCTCACCTGAACGCACCCCAGGAGCACGCAATCGCACGGGAAGCATGTGACCGACCTGCTAACTAATCACTCTCTCATTTCCCGTACTTAAATCATCTGAAACAGGGTAAGAAGGGACGGTGGGGTGGGTGCTTTAGCGTATGAGTCAGGATAAGTATAAATAATATTTTTACCCTAAGAAATACATATTTTATCTTATCCTGACTCATACTTGATGCTTGAATACAACAGGTGGTTGTGGGTTCCACCTGTTTGGGGTTCAGATAGAGGTCTGTTCTTTAACCCCTGGGAACATGATATTCTTCTTACTTTCTTCTGTATTACCACCTTCTTTCTGTGACAGAGAGAAGTAAATCTGTGTGTGGATTTTGTAAAGGTCACTTACTTTGAACGAATAAGTAGTTAAGAAAAGGACATAATCTTAACATAAACATTTCACTCATGCTCTGAATTCTACAGTAAAACAGGGGAACATGGACTTTCAGTCAAGGTAATGAGACAGTAACCTGACGTCAATAAGTCTACGTGAATATTGGGTGAGTTTTCTGGTAGGAGTTAATTGTTGCACGATCACTAGTGGTCCCAACTGGTGAATTCCAGCCACATCTTGTGTAGAAAAATCTCTGAGGTAATGGTTAGCGAAAACCGTATCTGATCTCCAGAAACAGCCTCCATAATTGTCGGGATGGAGTAATGGCTCTTACTTTATGGGGGTTGGAAGCTGACAGGGAGGGGGCTAGCCCTGCCGGTCTGAAGGCTCTGAGAATTACTGCTCTCATCCAGAAGGAAATTGTTGTTCTGGATACTTCTGTACTATTTTCCTAGATAACAGAATGAACAACCTTCTTAGTTTCTGTCGTTTGGAGTTCATCGTCTGGGCTGACTTAATCTGCATCTGGTCCTTAGAATCTTGGACTACTTCCTTCCTTGTGGGTGCTTCTAACATGGCCATCAAAGGTGGTTTGACCATCCCATGTCTGCCGAAGAAGAGGCTTCATAAAAAGGTCTGACCAATGGGAGGTAGTTATGAGGCCCTGTCGCCGTAACAAGGTCAGCAGACGTAGAGCTGATGTGTTCTGAGATGAATTCCTGGTATTCTTTTGTGTGATCATTGTAGCCCTTGTGATATAGTGGCCTTGGCGGTCGATGTATTAAGGTTCTTGGTGACTTGGTGGAATAGTCAGTATGGATATCTTCCCCTTTTATACAATACATATCTGCCAGTGATGGCTCTCTAGATGTTGATGAGATAGGTAATCTATCTGCAATCCAGATAAGTAATTAATGGTCTGGATAAAAAGAGGTACGAACAGCAGATTGGGACTTATCTTCAAAAAAGGCCTGAACACATTGTCATCTTATAAAAGGAATTAAGCACAAGGGTTCGGAGCTGTAGATGAACAGTGGGAAGTCTGTAAAGTCTCTTCAGAGCAGGATAAAGACGGCATATGCTGATTGGAATCTTTAGCTAATGTCTGATGTTGTTGCACTGCAAGGAAAACTTGTTGCGTAACATTGGTGACTAAGTTGGAGTCCGTAGTAGGCTGTGTGAACCTGGCAGGCTAAGGCGAACCCTATAGGTTGTGCACAGGTAGGTAGCTGTGTGCAGGAGGGCTGCATGAACCCCTGTCACTGTGAAAGAGCAGGTGGCGGCTCGAAGGTCTGCACCTCTGTGTAGATGGGTTGCTGCGTGAAGGCTTTCTGCATGCAGGTAGGCTGCACGAACCCCTAGACAAACCCTTAGGGCTGCGCAAAGGCCAAGGCCTGCGTGAAGGTCTGCGCCTGCATGAGGGACGAATCCAACATAAGGGGGTTGTTCCTACGTCGCAGATGTTATCTGCTGTGTGGTGGAATATCTATAATGTAGACTTCATAGATCAGCTGCAGCAGTCTGCTTTGTGATATTCACATTAGCACAGATGTGTTGATGCTTTGTTGGCGTTGACTTCGATGAAGTAGAAGAAGTATTCTTCTTCGCCAGCAATTGCAGATTTTTCTTAGTGATGCAGGCAACCACAGATGATTCTCTTCAGTCTGGTTGTACCCTTTACAGGGGTGTCAACACTTCTGCTGCCCAGGGAAGTCGCTCAGGGATAATCTGTAAAGAAGGCAGATAAGTATATACTTTCCCTAGAAAGTCTATCTATGTTCCTCTGAAGAAGGTGTAGGTGTGGTGTGGTCTTTTTCTGTTTCTGACAAACAAATTTATATGAAAATTTTGAAAGGATGGCACGGATAACAAAGCTCAGGAAATCTTTCCTCAACCACCCGGTTGGCATGAAAATGAGAGAATGACGAGTAACCGGTCTTGGTCAAGTACTTCCGTTGCGCATGCAGTCCTGAGGTGCATTCGGATGAGATGTTTTCTCTGTTGTCTGGGAACACAGTTCAGGCAGTTTCCACTTTCAGGGGGGCACGGGTGGCCAAGTCATCTAAGGCACTGCGATTCGCTGTGCAGAGTTGCGCCCCTTGGGCACGCCAGAAACCTATGATTGTGGGTTCGAATCCTGGTTCACCCCGATTATTTTTCTAGGATTATAAGCACCATACCCGTGCTCGTGGGTTTCACCGAAGTGGTAAAATCTGAGACCTGCATCACTTCGGGCTTTTCTTCCACATTAAGCTGATACGCCGCGATGTGGAATACTGTTAAAAGCAGCGTTAAACCCAACTCACTCACTACCTTTCGGAAATGAGTAGATATATGCAATAAGTATGTGTTAAGATAAAATTATATGACTTTACAGTCACAGAAAAGTTCCTGCTTGTCTTGATGATACATCTGATTGTGCCAAACTGTGGTTAGTCCCAAAAGTGAAGTCCCTGGAGAACAAGTGACATTACGTGGAACCCTGTCCAACTCAACTGTCCATGACACTGACACCATATGATTCTTTCTATTCTTCAAATGCTTTCCATAACGTTTAATCAAGTAAATTTGTGTTGATAATTCTTATCAAAAGTTCATATATTACAAGGAACACTAAATTATATTTACAAAACCAAAAACTAAAGCAAGTCCTCAATGAATGTATGATGTGTCTGCAAACTATGACACTAGGGCTATTTCTCCTGCAAAACTTTGTGTGGGAGAGAGTACTGCAAATCCCCCCATACTGATGGAATTACATTATTGCCTGGTCGCCGGATCAGCGTGCATTCCCATTGATTTCTCAGCTCCAAGTACATCACTTGCTTGATAACAGTGCTAGTATTTACACCAAACATCGCATTCCTTGTAACATAGAAGCTTATAGTGACAGAACTATCACACTTGTTCATCCCATTACATTACAAAGTCCTTATGGTAAACAAACTATAGATTTACAATGTCATTGGTTGAGTATTAGTTCATAGAAAATAGTTACAAGTGAGTAATAACAATTCAGTGAAGATATATTATTTACACTTAATTACAGTTGTGTGGCCATCAAGTATAGACATTGGGCGTCAGTCACTTCCTGGTTGAAGGGAGATAACCTGGGGCATGGAACACACAATACAGTACTGTCTACAACACTAACATTACGGCACAGACTTCATGAGGAACAGTTAGGAAATATAAATGTGACTATCAAGAATACTTAACAATTATATCATAGTGCATTTTCTAACATAATTATATATATGTGAGCAGTAGATACTATACTCAAACCAAAACTTTCACCATCAAACAATAAACATTTAATGTTTAGTTCTAAAGTACAAACCACTTGGATAACATTGTGATGTTTAACAGGAAGTCCAAGCAGTTTCACACAGTAAACATGTCGTCAAAGTATGTCTGAGAGTACCGTACAATGTCAGGATCTCATAATGTGACTGAATTTTACAATCCACTCTATTAATTGTTGTTTGTTGTGTTTCAGCCTAAACACTATCATCACTCTAGTTAAAATTAATCAAGGATCACCTGTATGTGTTGTCTGTTAAATTGCCTATCAGGTTTGAAAAAATGCTTTCAAATAACTATTTTCTTTTCAGCAATGTAGTCATCAGCAAAGTTAATAGAGTGACATGAATGTGATACTACTGGCAGGACCAATCAGAATGCAGGATTCTTAAATGTAAGTGTAGAATGAGGATTGCGTTTTGGTCATCCACATATCATGTTGCACCCTCCAAGAGGAACTGGGCCTTCCACTTACTTGGTGTCAGCATCTGGCACACAGGGCAGCAAGTAGCCATCATGGGAGTAGTTCCCCCCAACAACATCCGTCTCACCTGCAGCAGAAGCACTTTCCATATGTTCAGTGGCACTAATGGACAAGTAGGAATCAAGCACGAATGTCAGGAGAAACACACGGTACAACATGCTTGAAATCAAAGCAGTGAAACTTCATTAACACAAAGGTTTAACCTTTTATCAATTGTGTTGCTGAAGGTAAAGGTCTAACTTTGATGCCATAAATAGAACTGAACCCATAATTAGTTACAAAAATAAGAATTTCACCTATTTCTGAGAAACAGTTCTAGAAACTAGTAAATGTTCTGCTCAGAGAGTCACTATTAATGTACATCTGCATCATGGGTGTATGGCTCATAACATGACAATAAAAATATATACAATACAATTCCAAACCAAAATGTCTAGCGCCTTCAGCTGACTTAATATGAGAGTTACATGCACTTCTGACTGATAATGTCAGCAAGCACAGCAAGAAAATATAAATCAAGTTTCAGCAAAGTTAGAACTTCCAACTGAGTCCATATCAATTCAGCAGGGCATTAGCCTATGGCAACATGAGGTAGTTATGGTAATATGATGCCATCTCCTACCACTTGAGAAAAAATCTGTTTTCTAGTAAGTTGTAACAGCTGAATATTATTGGGGTTTTTCACAATTCAAAAAGAAAAGAAAGTAGCCATGGGACAGGCAGATCCTGTAAATCGGGAAAGTTTTGCAATCAGGACAGTACTTTGAAACCTGTAGCTTCATGACGCAGATAGTTTTTCAGACCAACAACAAACAAAAATGTATGGAGGCATATTTCTTTTAGTCCCTTCCAGAACATTGTCAAACCAGCCAGTACATCACTGCAAACATAATCTCTCACATCCTGTTTCCTTAATTACATTACATGTGCTATTGACAGCCGCTAGAAAGAATTTCATGGTGCAAAACTTTCCAAATTTACAGAATTGAGGACACTGGATGAGAAAACCAACTGAGACCACAGCTCAAATTTCAGTAAACACATTAAACAAGCCTTGATACAGGGGGTAGCTTAAATAGCACAAGATTCAGCTTCAATATTTTAGGCTAAAAGCAATAATAGTCTTTGTTCTCAGTCACTGCCCACATCATCACAAAGTCTGCCGCATGACTCGTTTTTATTTCCATTTAAAAAAAAAAAAATCCTTAAATATTCGGCATCTTAAACACACCAACCCGGCAGCGAAATGCAAAATACTTATGACCGATGCGATCCAATACAATTACTTCCCTTTACATGCACAATGCTTTACTGTGCATCTCGTGTTATGGTCCTCGCAGCAATAGGAGTTTGTGGTCTTGTGTTGCCGTTTGTAAATTAGGTCAATGAAAGCATGAAATTTATGACTAGACATGATGATTTACAAATACAATGGTATTTGAGTACTGTATGCCGGACAATGTTTCATATGCAGAGATTAAGATTACATGTGTATTTGAACAATGAACACCCTTATAGCCAGATGTGTAATAACACGACTAACTTTCATACTTCAGTACGGATTTGTTGACATGCTTCTCCAGTGTTGTGAGCTCATGATAACATCTTCGCGTTGTGAAATAAAATCTAAGCTCATTGTATGCATGTATTAGGCACACACTAGCAGTCCAATACTAGTCAAATAGTATATTCCAGTATTTTACTCATCAAGGAATACATTTATGAAGGGAGGCCCTTTCCCAGGTGGATTGTACACAACTGTTTATTAGGTTCCATACCAGTTTGAACAACAACGACAAAAAAACACCGCCCACCTGCAAAATATTTCAAAAGCCATTGAGAAACAATTCATTTTTTTAAGGTTTCTTGGGAGATGCTATTCGGTGACACAATGATGACAACTACTGCACCCAATGTCAGACAGACAGACAGACAGACAGACAGACAGCTCCTGATCATCAGACCAGTCATCAGGGCTTTCTGTCCAGTGCTCAGTACACAAAGTGCCTTACTTGGAGGATCTCCTGTAGTGCTCTGGTCAGCCTCATCCACATTCAATACCTTCTTCACCAAGTTCATCACTGTGTCTGAAAAACAACAAATATTGAGTTTCATTAACTGAAACAGTCTGGTATTTGGCAGTTATTAATCATACAGAAAGTTTGTAACTACAACGTCACAACAACATAGAAACATTCTGCACTTTGAGACAATGCTTTTTTCATACATCTCAGGGCAATTCTGTCCAATTAGACCTACAGATGTGGTATACAGAGACATGGAAATCACTGTCTGATTTTACAAGATTGGTCAGGTCATATTTGGCATCCAACAAGCTTGACAGAGTACTATATGTAAAATAATTGAATATACTGATATTTACATACAATCTTGTAGAATTTTCCTATTCGGAATATTCTATAAGTAATACGTTACCACTGTTATACCGAGGCTGTTGTCTCCCACAACTGCTGCTATAGCGAAATCTACCACAGAGATCTCAATTACCTCATGCAGCACGTGCGTAGCCACCTAGCTGCCATGTGACACCCTTCACTCTTGTCTCTTGCGAGAGCAAGTGCTCGGGGGACGGACGGGCGGGCAGCAGCCCAGTGGTAACGTATTACTTGTAGAATATTCCGAATAGGAAAATTCTACAAATTACATTAAGTAATACGTTACCACTGTTATACCGAGGCTGACTACCACAGTAGGCGGTGGGGAGCACCTACAACCCGAATCCTGACTGCTAGCGTTCCTTCCGACCAGCGGAAGTAAACACCAAGACGGAAGCACTCGATGCACAAGCACCTAGCTAGGCGTTACCCTATAGGAATACCAAAGCACTGTCAAGCGCATACCGTAAGGCTCAATCGTCATTGCCAAAACGATTGGTGACTCCAAACGGCCCCACTGGATAGGTATTTCATCGCCGCAGCGGATGAGAACACTGTATCCGCGTGAGCTTAATCTTAGATCAGGTTAAACAGTCGAAAAGAGGGAAATTAATTTCATTCAGACCGTATATCCCAGAGCATAAATACATAATTGTCAAAATACAAAATAAGGACAAAGCACACAAAAAGCCGCCCTCACCTGTGGTGTGAGTGCGCTGGTTTGCGGGACCCCAACTCCTGTACCCACGGCAGTGGGAACATTGGAGTCGACCCAGATTGACCACCGTGCAAGGTCTGACGCCTTAGGAGTTCGGAATTGCGCTGGGCACACCCCTTAGGTGCCCGCTTGCGCCGCGATCCGCGGGCCAAGACGGTGCACACTCTCCACGACGGCATCAGCGACCTGTTTGAGGTAATGATTGGCAAAAACCGAGTCAGAACGCCATTAACAACCTCGTAATATTCTGCGAACAGAGATATTCGAGTGTAGGGCAAATGTTGCCGCTAGTGCCCTGATCTCGTGCGGGTTTGACCCCGCTACCGGTAACCCCCGAGACCGGTACGCCAGATTGATGACAGAACGAAGCCACAACGCAATCGAGTTGCGAGTTATGTCAACCGTGCGATTAGGGTTACACGATATGAACAGACGGTCACGCCCTTGTCTACGTTCATTCGAAGCCTTAAGATAATACTTAAGGGCCCTAACCGGACACAGCGCTCTGTCCTCAGTATCAGCAGGATGTAAGATTTCTTTGAGTGATCTTATAGTGAATTCTCTCTCCGTTTGCCCGACTCTCTGATTCTTGGCGACGAAGCCCGTGAGCAGCCCCAGGCGGACCGCCCCTTCGTCACCCCTATCGAATCGTACCTTGGCGACATCGAGTGCATGAATTTCGGATACACATGCCGCCGTGGCAAAGGAGAGGAGAAATGCTGTTTTCTAAGTCACATGCCGGAACGAAGCACTATGCAAGGGTTCATACGGAGCTTCCGTAAGTGATTGCAACACTAGGGAAAGATCCCAGGCCGGTGCCCGAAGGCTGCCCTTCTTAAGATCGTGCTGTTTGAAACCCTTGATAATACCCCGTATCACCGGCTCTTTGGAGAGACTGGTACCCATAGCAACGTCCCGTACCGTAGCAACGGACGAGACATAGTTGGCAATGGAACCCCCGGAGAGTTTCCGGGTCTCTCGCAAGTGAGACATGAAACGAGCAATATCCTGCACAGATACCTTATCTGGCGAATGAATGTGATGTTTACAACACCACTTCGTGAAAATAACCCAACGTGCATTATACACCGTCTGGGTAGAATCACGATGCATACTAACGTATGCCCGAGACGCCCAGCGAGAAAAACCTTTACTCCTCAGACGCTTGGTGACAACATCCACGCGTGCAGATTGAACTGCCCTGCGTTTGGATGAAGCTGACGGGAGTAAGGGTGGATCAAGAGATCCGGTCTCACAGGCAGTGGAAGTGGCGACTGCGTGACCTGGGTCAGCAAGTCGGGGTATCACGATCTGTTCGGCCACAAGGGCGCGATCAGTAACATTCGACAGCGAACTCCTCGGAGCCGGCTTAGAATGTGTGGTATCAACGCTGTCGGCGGGTAAGCATAAGCGTCCAAGCCCGTCCAGTCTATCGCGAGAGCATTGTGATCGATGGCCCTCGGGTCTGGGACTAGTGATACAAACAACGGGAGTTGATTGTTGAACCTCGTTGCGAACAGGTCGACAATCGGACGACCCAAACGTTCGCACAGCCACTGAAACACTACTGGGTTCAGCATCCACTCTGTGGGGCTCGGATCCTGAGGGAGGGCGACTGTCGCACTGTTCACCTCCGTTGCTAACAACCGGATTAAAAACCGTTGCAGCGGGCGGAGTTGGCCCTAACAGCTGTTCCCAAAAGTGAACAGTCTGTTGCACCGCTAAGACTTTGGCAATCATCGCCTGAATCTTGTACCACCGGTCTGGGGGGACAAAGAGGTGATGGGACACCGTGTTGAACCGACCTCCGATGAACAGCAAGTTCTGAGAAGGGGTTAACTCGCTCTTGGGGAGATTGATAATCCACCCCAATTGCTCCAAGAGCCGACGTGCGAAAACGAGATGGCGTGACAGGGTGTCCGTCATTCGATTTGCTACTAGCGAGTCGTCCAGGTACGCAAAGTACCGGACACCCCTCCCGTGGAGGAACCCCACTATGGGCGTGGTTAACCGGGTGAACAGCCAGGGAGCGGACGTGTGAATCATACTGAGTTCGGCACTGTCCTACTTGGGAACGAGAAATATCCTGGAGTAAAACCCCGGTGTTATTTCTGGTAGAGCTAACTCCCGTACTGCCCCTTCTCCACCAACCTGCCGATGGCATCGGCGAGGATGGGAAGATCGGTTTCTGAATCGAAACCTGCCAACGGGGCAACGGTGAGCGGCGGATTCGCTTTGAGATCAAGCCGATAGCCGTACCGAATCGTGTTGACCACCCACGGGTCGTCGAACACTTGGTCCCCATTTTCCCAGTAAGTCTGGAGTCTGGCTCCCACTGGGGAAGGAGAGGGGGCCCTGACAGGCTGCGGCAGGCGCAACTGTCCAGGGCCAAATGACTCGGGTTCGCCTAAGGGCCAACCGAAGTTGGCGCTGTCGGCATACGAACCCCTCCAATGAGAGTCACCTGGAGGGGCCCTTGCCGTCCTTAGACGACTTGGGCTTCCCCCAGTTCCCCGTCTTCCCGTGAAAGGGCAGCTGATTGCCCATACCGGAGCCCTCAGGGCGGGGCTACTTCCCAGAGGAAGAAGAACCCGACCCCTTAGACCTACCGGCCGCAGCAGCCTGGGGCGCGCTCCGGTTAGGAGCGGCACCCAGGCGCCTATGCAGGGACCCAACAAGAGCAAGTGTGTGCCGAGAGTCCTCGGCAATGTACTCCAGGGAAGCATTTAAACTGAGCAGGCAGTTGGAAATGCGCTGGTCACGGTCCGTGGGAGAACCATCGACCAGACTGGTCGCTGCAGCCAAGTAAGTGTCTGCGTGAGACATGGAGTGCCGAGCGAGGGCGTCCAGCTGGTGCAAGGTAGCTTGCGTTACCGTAGCAGCCAGTGGGGCACGGACACCCAACCGCTCAACATGGGCCTCCGCGGTAGGACCAGCCTCGGGAAAGGCAAGGTCAAGTACCGGGAATAAACCCTTTCTCCACGACGTCGGAGGCAACGGGAGACCCCGACCGGAGGCCGCCGCGAAGGCGTTCTCCAAGGAAGGCTTGATACCGCGCAGCAAGGTTGATGCGGGGAAAGCCGTGTCGGAAGACTCATCGTATACCTCGGAGGAACCCACAGTCGTGGATTCCCCGCGGTACCGGCCGGGGCATGTCCTCAAAGAGGTCATAAACCAAGGCCACGCGGTCCTTAACCGATAGCGGGAGCAAGGGTTCGGGGGAAGGACCGGTGACCACGGGAGCCGCCGCCGTTGCGGTGGACCCCGCGGCCGACCCCGCGGCCACCAAAGTGGCCGGGGACGGAACAGCCAGCGGCCTATCCTGAGATAAGGCCGCCAGCTTGGAGTCCACAAGTTATGCAAGTAATGCAGCGACGGAATCCCCGGACAGCACACGGGCCGCCAAGGGATCCGCCGCAGCTGTGGTGGTGGTACCCGCAAGGGGACCCCGACCGGACGAGCCGGCCACCACAGGGGTGGAAACGGACTGTTCATACAGCCGGTAGCGCTCGCTTGCGGCACACCCCGCAGCTCCTGGTTGCGGGGGTAGAGGGGGTAGAGGGGGTGGAGGACGGCGAAACATCCATGTCAGACATTTTGTTTGTACTATGAACAAAGAGCAAAACATGGTTACAACACACGCACCACAAATAGTCACAAACGAGTATTTTCACAAGAAAATAAACGAGCAATGGGAATATAGAACATACACATATAACATATAGAGGAATAAGTGATGTAAAAACCCCAAGATATACTAGAACAGGGGAACGTAAGACGCAACGTGCATACGAGACACCCCGCAAGTATATAGAAAAAAAGGGCGGGAAAAATATTTCCTTTTGGCGGGAAAAATATTTCCAAGCGTAGTTACAGCAAACGCCCCGTAAAAGCACAGTTTATTAGAGAGAATAAACAGTAATAAATATCACCGAATGGTCGGAGAAACAGGAACGCTTGAGCAGTTTATTGGACGTCTTGCTAGAGCAAGCGAAGAGACAAGAGTGAAGGGTGTCACATGGCAGCTAGGTGGCTACGCACGTGCTGCATGAGGTAATTGAGATCTCTGTGGTAGATTTCGCTATAGCAGGAGTTGTGGGAGACAACAGCCTCGGTATAACAGTGGTAATGTATTACTTAATGTAATATGTTATCACTTTCACTTCAAACTTGACGAATACTTCAATCTCAAAATGCTTTTAAAAGATATCTGAGCATGCCACTGGCCTTTATAGATCAACTCATACTGACTTCAGCCTTCCTCAAGTCTTTTTTATATGCATCACCAAGTCTCTATTTCAAAACATTTTTTAGCACTTGAAGATTTTCATGCAGATGTTGTTTAAATACAATTTCCGTAATGTTTGCATGAGCTGCTTCTAGAAATATTGCAGTCCTACCGAACATATACACTGACTCAAGCTTGTCGACAACCTACCCTTGGCACTCATAAAGAGGTTTCTTGAGTTGTCCTTGGCTTCATCTTCATCTCCATCCTGAAGGATCACTGCAATAGCAAGGGGCAGGCTCTTGACACAGTAAGCCACACACTGTTTGAAATGGTCAAATCCTGGCTTACCTGGCTCCCTAGAACTGTCACTGCTGATGATGACAAGTGGCAGGTATATGTGGAGTGACAGCAAAAACCCCAATAGTAACATATTGCATACTCTTAGAGCTCATATTGTCTTTGATTTTGAATTTTATGTTAGAAATTTAAGGTTTATGGATCATCAAAGGATTTTAAATATCTTAGATGTGGTATTTAACCATTATGTACTGATACCCCTCCCCACACTTTGGTCCAATCCTTGGTAGGGCATATACTAAGTTAAATGAAGGATGCCTGAAAATGTTTACAGTAAGTTTGTTTTGTGAAACTGCCTATAATGCTTCTATGTTACAGTACACAGAAACTTGACCTTGATCTTTGAGAGAGATCAAGACCCAAATGCTTTCAGAATGTGTAAACAACAGGTAGGGAGCACTTTTTAATCTCGTGCTCTTGACCTTTGGCCAAAACAATTACCCGGAACCATTCAAAAGATGTTCATGTCGCTGTCAGGATATTGTTTGTTATGTGTCAATATCTTTGTGTAGTTTCTTGAACAAAAACAGCAGCACGGATACAACTACAAACATTTATGCTCATTCAACTTCATTATAAAAGAAATATGAAAGAAAGCAATGGTAACTAACTAATCGACAGAAACATATAATTTCCAGCATGTACAGTACCAGAAATTGCCTGGGCACACCAATTTACATGCGGACGCAGTGTTTTCCACTCAGATAACTATGGGCCAAAGGGAACCCCAATAATTTATTTCAAGGGTCCTTACAGAAAATATGAGCTCCTGTTAAATAATGAAATGTAGTGCACTGTACTGAAATTACTTAAATTACAGGACCTTTATAGGAATACATTGTGTGTCCCTTGGGACGCAACATATTTCTATTCCCGCGTCCATTCTATACATTTGTGGGCACTGGATGCACATTTCTACTCCTGGGATGAAACATGCCTCACTTGCTATACATACCAGTTTCATCTTCGGAGTTGGTTGATTCTATGTTCTCATTGTTGTCATCATCATCATCATCTGCCATCGGTACGCCAAACACTCTGCAAGAAGATTCTAGGAAAGTCAGTGCTGACTAAAAGGGATGAATAGGATTGGTACTTGCATCACACGTGTGTGGAAGTATAGGAGGGTCAGTGCTGACTACAAGGGGGTGGAAAGATTGGTACTTGCATCACACGTGTGTGGAAGTATAGGAGGGTCAGTGCTGACTACAAGGGGGTGGAAAGATTGGTACTTGCATCACACGTGTGTGGAAGTATAGGAGGGTCAGTGCTGACTACAAGGGGGTGGAAAGATTGGTACTTGCATCACACGTGTGTGGAAGTATAGGAGGGTCAGTGCTGACTACAAGGGGGTGGAAAGATTGGTACTTGCATCACACGTGTGTGGAAGTATTGGAGGGTCAGTGCTGACTAAAAGGGGTGAGAAAGATTGGTGCTTGCATCACACGTGTGTGGAAGTATTGGAGGGTCAGTGCTGACTAAAAGGGGGTGGAAAGATTGGTACTTGCATCACACATGTGTAGAAGTATTGGAGGGTCAGTGCTGACTAAAAGGGGTGAGAAAGATTGGTGCTTGTGTAGCCGGGGTAGTGGTATTTATCCGGCTCGGGCCGTTGGGAAACACAGACACAGGCAGATGGTGATAATGGATTTATTTCAAGGGGGGTGGCTGCTGTTGAAGAACTACCTGAAGAAAAGAAAATGTCCTTCCTCCTCAACAGCAGCACATGAAGTCATATATTTGCAAGTTTACAGGTATTATTTATCTTAAATATAAAAGTACAAAAGCCATTGATAAACTATACTAAAACTAACTTTAATGTTAAATTACTGTTATATGTTCATTATAGGATACTTGGAAAGCACATGGTCCAAAATGGACCATGTGGTTAATTATTTTACAAGCAAGTTTTATAATATCAATATTCCATTTACTAATTTAATATTACTTTAAATGATATTATATATATATTATTCAATTTAATTCAGCACCCTAATATAGATATTAATTTCTGACAGAAGCAGATGAAAACAGATTGAAATATGGCCATTCCATACCTGAAGAAAAGAAAATGTCCTTCCTCCTCAACAGCAGCACATGAAGTGAGGAGGAAGTCAGGTATGGAAGGAAGCTACCTGTAGAGGACCAGGGTGGCCAATTAGAAGACAGATTGCATTAAGCATCAAAGGAAGTGCTTAATGCAAGATATAAATAGACTGAGGGAAACCCTACAGGTGTAAAAAATGTCTAAAGATAGACAGAAGGTTGAAGGGGAAGATCTGGTGAGAGATTCCCAGAGACTGAAAATAAGGGTGTTGAGTTGTTTAAAGAGTTAGATACTGATATTCAACTGTAGACAAGACAAACATTGAACATATAGATGATTATGATGATGATGTATGAATAATGATATAACTATAGGAAGAATATAAGGTACCCTGCTACACGCACCCCCCTTTTGGGAATGGTGCCCTCACCATACGCAGCTGAAAACAGACGAACAGCCAAGGAAAGGAGCAGGATAACAAAAGGTTGCAGAAAATTAAACCTGAGAAAGCAATAACATGTGCTCAAACATATATACAATGGACTAAGTAGAGAACTATACCCAAACCATGTTCTGTTTCACCACCCATTGACCGTCAGTCATCCACTTTGGTTTCTGGCGTGACCTGCCAGGTCTTGTAACCACTGGTGGGGTGACAGAAGATAATTCTGGAACAACAGAAGTGGAAGGGCTGGAAGGCACTGGGGAAGTCGAAATTCCTCCAGGCAACTCGAGTGACGGCAACACCATAGATGGCGTCGTTGAAGAGGGAACACCAGATAATTGAGCTGGTGGTGACCTTGGAAACGAAGGAGTTTCAACCGGCTGACCCAATGGAGAACCCCCAGGCACTGGAGATAAAGGAATTTCCACATCCAGGTCGGTTGTAGAAATCTCCAAAGCGGTGTTGGAGGTATCACCAGGTACAGCGGAAGCTCCTAGAGAAGGCGGAGGGCTCCGAGGTTTAGGAATGGGACGGCCATCCGAACCAATGGGAAGGAGTAAATTGCGGTGAAGTACACGATGCTCCCTAGTGCCTTCCTTGCGGACTTTAAACACAGGAACATTAGAATTCGGCTGTGATTCCACCACATAGAAATCTTTCTCCCATCGGTCGGCAAGCTTCTGTTTCCCACGAATGTTGACATTGCGGACCAACACAACATCACCTACCTTAACAGTAGCACCACGAGCCTTCAGATTATAAGTCTTCCTCTGTTTGGCCCGGGCCTTGTCCATGTTTTGAGTAGCGAGCTCATACGCAGTTGTCAACTTGCGCTTCAAATCAGCAGCAAACTGCGTATAAGATGGCGATGAAGTGTTGGCGAGAGACGTGCCAAAGGCAACATCAACAGGCAGTCTAGGATGTCTGCCGAACATGAGAAAGTAGGGCGTGAACCCAGAAGACTCGTGCAAGGTACAGTTATAGGCATGGACCACATGAGCAATATGGTCCTTCCAACGTGCCTTTTCCTGATCCTGCAGAGTCCCGAGCATCCCAAGAAGTGTCCGGTTAAACCGTTCACATAACCCGTTCCCCATGGGGTGATAGGGAGTTGTCCTTGTTTTCTGTATCCCAAGTATGCTGCACATTTGTTTGATAACATCACTTTCGAAATTCCGTCCCTGATCTGAATGTAACCTTTCAGGGAGGCCATAGTGTACGATAAAGTGCTCAAACAAGGCCTTTGCTGTTGTTCGCGCTGTTTGATTACGAGTTGGAATCGCAACAGCATACTTGGTGAAGTGGTCAGTAATGACCAGAACATTTTCGTAACCACCAGATGAAGGTTCCAGACTGAGATAGTCAACACACACCATTTCCATGGGTTGAGTGGTCTGAATGTTGACCAATGGTGCGCGCTCAGTCTGATTAGGAGCTTTCCGAAGAATGCACCTCTGGCAGCTACGAATGTGGTTCTCGACATCTCCCATCATTCCTGGCCAATAAAACCTCGTCCGTAGGAGAGCCACAGTCCTGTCCCTACCCAGATGCCCCATCCCGTCATGAAGATGAGTAATGACGGATTCTCGTTGAGGCTCTGGGACAATGAGTTGAAAGTAGGGATAATCACCTTCTGTAGTCTTCTGTCTCCTATAAAGGAGATTGTTATTGATGGAGAGAGCATCCCACTGCCTGAGGATTGAAGCTGTGTCACGATCAAATGACCTAAGAGACTCCTTTGAAGGGCGCTGATCTTTACGGAGAAGGTCCACAATCGTGCAGATTGAGGGGTCCGCCTGCTGACAAGATAGCACCTGATGATCAGTCCCAACATTGGTAGACTCGAAATCATCAACTGCTAAAACACAGTTCAATACCTCATGACAAAGTGAGAGCGTCTCTACAACACTAGACGTCTGCTGACTGTTGCAAACCGCAGACACAGATTGGATATCCATGACCTCACGTGGCAACCTGGACAACGCATCAGCATCCTTGTTCCTTGCCCCTGGTACATACTCTACAGAAAAGTCGTAAGCAGCAAGGTCAGCGAGCCAACGATGTCCAGTTGCATCCAATTTCGCTGATGTTAAAACGTAAGTGAGGGGGTTGTTGTCGGTCTTAACGGTGAATGGGTTGCCATACAGGTAGTCATGGAACTTCCTGGTGACAGCCCATTTCAGAGCTAGAAACTCTAATTTGTGAGCTGGGTAGTTGCGCTCTGATTTGGAAAGCCCTCGGCTCGCATAGGCTATCACTCGTTTCTGGCTATTTTGGGTTTGGTAAAGTACCGCGCCTAAGCCATCGCCACTTGCATCAATGTGCAGTTCGAATGGCTGAGTGAAGTCTGCGAAAGCCAAAATGGGAGCGCTGATAAGTTTACCAACAAGCTCACTGAAAGCCGACTGCTGCTCCTCCCCCCATATCCAGTTCTGGTCGGGTTTGCTATTTTTCCTTTTCTTGCCGGATTGACCAACAAGTAAATTTGTCAAGGGCTTTGCAACTTTGGCATAATTAGGCACAAAGCGACGATAATATCCAGAGAAGCCAAGAAAACGACGAACATCATCCACATTCTGTGGAACTGGCCAGGTCTCCAGTGCCGCAATCTTCTCAGGGTCTGTCGTGATACCCTCCTCAGAGATTACGTGACCCAGATATTTCACAGAGGTCTGCAAGAACTGGCACTTAGAAGGCTTAAGTTTGAGGCCATTCTTGCGCAATCGAAGAAAGATTGCACGTAATCTCTCCAGATGCTCATCAAAGGTCTTTGAAAACACAATGATGTCATCAAGGTAAATGAGACACTGTAGGAGATGGATGTCGCCCATACATCTCTCCATAAGACGTTGAAAAGTTGCGGGAGCATTTGTGAGACCAAAAGGCATCGAGTTACACTCGTAAAATCCTAATGGACCAACCGTAAAAGCAGTACGGGCTTTATGTTCCTCAGCAACTTCGACCTGCCAATAGCCCGACTTCAGGTCAAGACAAGTGAAGTACTTGGCACCATGAAGTGCATCAAGGGTCTCCTCAATCCGTGGTAAAGCATAAGAGTCTCTAACTGTACGACTATTAAGTTGGCGATAGTCTATACAGAAACGTAAAGACGAGTCCCTTTTGCGAACAAGAACCACGGGAGAGGCATAAGGACTAGAAGAAGGACGAATAACCTTAGCATCCAACATGTTCTTCAGATGGTCCTTAACCTCTTGATACAATGCAGGTGGAATGCGCCTATGTCTTTCCCTGAAAGGACGTTCATCAGTTAGCTCAATCCTGTGAGTGACTAAGTCTGTGTGGCCCATATCCATATCAGACTTGCTGAAGATGTCATCAAACTCACTAAGAAGATCGCGAAGCTTTGCTATTTCCTCTGGAGTATGTATCTGACCCAGGGTTTCTAAATTGAAAATGTCTTTAGGCTCGGGGCCAGATGTGAAAGCCGGCTCATCCGTAGAGGAGAGACCATCTAAGACATCTACTTGCTCTAAACAACAAAGTACTGTCTTGGCTGGAATAGTAACAGCCTTGGTAGATGGATTG